GACATCCCGGAACTCCCGGAATTCCCAGAAATTCCGGGCACCAGGATCTGCGGGATGACATTCCTGAATTCCCAGAAATTCCAGGTGCCAGGATCTGTGGGATGACATTCCTGAATTCCAGGAATTCCCAAAATTCTGGGTGTCAGGATCTGCAGGAAGACATTCCTGAATTCCCGGAATTCCGGAAATTCCGGGCGCCGGGGGTCGCTCCAGAGGCACCGCCCGACAAGCTCCGAGTCTTTGGGATCATCTCTGGGGTGGGGTTAAATCCCAGATTCTTTCTTGGGACCATCCCTGGGGTGGGAAGGGAGCCCAAGTCCTTGGGATCATCCCTGGGATCATCCTTGGGATGGGAAAGGAGCCCAAGTCCTTGGGATCATCCCTGGGGTGGGAAGGGAGCCCAGATCCCTCCTTGGGATCATCCTTGGGAATAGGGCCCAGATATTTGGGATCATCCTTGGGGTGGGAATGGAGCCCAGATCCTTGGGATCATCCCTGGGGTTGGAATAAATCCCAGATCCCACCTTGGGATCACCACTGGGATCATCCCTGGGGTGGGAAGGGAGGCCAGATCCTTGGGATCATCACTGGGATTGTCCTTGGGATCATCTCCAGGGTGGGAATGGAACCCAGATGTTTGGGATTATCCCTGGGGTTGGGAATGGAGCCCAGATCCCTCCTTGGGATCATCCTTGGGATCGTCCTTGGGGTGGGAATAAATCCCAGATTCTTCCTTGGGACCATCCTTGGGATGGGAATGGAGCCCAAGTCCTTGGGATCATCCCTGGGGTTGGGATTGGAGCCCAGATTCTTCCTTGGGATCATCTTTGGGATGGGAAGGGAGCCCAAGTCCTTGGGATCATCCCTGGGATCATCCTTGGGATCATCCCTGGGGTGGGAATGGAGCTCAGATCCTTGGGATTGTCCTTGGGGTTGGAATAAATCCCAGATTCTTCCTTGGGATCATCCCTGGGGTGGGAATGGAGCTCAGATCCTTGGGATCGTCCTTGGGGTTGGAATAAATCCCAGATTCTTCCTTGGGATCATCCCTGGGGTGGGAATGGAGCTCAGATATTTGGGATCACCCCTGGAGGTTGGAAGGGAGCCCAAATCTCTCCTTGGGATCATCCCTGGGGTGGGAATAAATCCCAGATTCTTCCTTGGAATCATCCCGGGGGTGGGAATGGAGCTCAGATATTTGGGATCACCCATGGAAATAGAGCCCAGATCCCCCCTTGGGATCATCCCTGGGTGGGAAGGGAGCCCAGATCCTTGGGATCATCACTGGGATCATCCTTGGGATCATCCCTGGAGTGGGAATGGAGCCCAAGTCCTTGGGATCATCACTGGGGTGGGAATAAATCCCAGATTCTTCCTTGGGATCATCACTGGGGTGGGAATGGAGCTCAGATATTTGGGATTATCCCTGGGGTTGGGAATGGAACCCAGATATTTGGGATCATCCCTGGGATGGGAAGGGAGCCCAAATCCTTGGGATCATCCTTGGGATTGTCCTTGGGATCATCCCTGGGGTGGGAATGGAGCCCAAGTCCTTGGGATCATCACTGGGGTGGGAATAAATCCCAGATCCTCCTTGGGATCATCCTTGGGATTGTCCTTGGGATCATCCCCAGGGTGGGAAGGGAGCCCAGATATTTGGGATTATCCCTGGGGTTGGGATTGGAGCCCAGATTTTTCCTTGGGATCATCTTTGGGGTGGGAAGGGAGCCCAGATCCTTGGGATCACCCCTGGAAGTTGGAATCAGATATTTGGGATCATCCCTGGGATGGGAAGGGAGCCCAGATCCTTCCTTGGGATCACCCCTGGAGGTTGGAACAGATCCCAGATCCCAGGATTTTCCCCCCCCAAGAACTGGGACGGGCAGGAAACTCCGGAAGGATTCCAGGTGCCCATTCCCAGGGATGATCCACAGATCCTCTGGAATCTCAAGGTGACTCCTGGGACCCCACGGCCCTTCCCGCCCTCTCCTCCTGCCCATTCCCGGCGGGATTTCCCCCGGAGGTGCCTCCTCACCTCCCGCAGCTCCTCCACGGAGGAGGGTTGGAAGTAGAGCTCCGGGGAGCATCCATAGGTCTGGGACCAGTTCTGGAACTTCACTCCTGCTCGCCCGTGGACCTGGAGTGGAGATCGGTGGGATTGGGATTGGGATCATCCCAGGGGGGCTGGATCCCATCCCGAGTGATTGGGGTTATCCCAAGGGGGTTGGATCCAATCCCAAGGAATAGGGGTCATCCCAGGGGGGCTGGATCCGATCCCCCAGTGGATTGCAAGTCACCCTTCTTGCCTTTTCCCTTCCCGTTGCCCGTCCCTCCCTTCCCTTTCCCTCCTCCAACCTTGCCCTTCAAACTTCCTTCCAAACCTCCCTTCCCAAAAACTTCTGTCCCTTCCTTCCAAACTTCCCTCCCTTCCAACTTCCCTTGCCAACATTCCCTCCCTCCTTCCTTCCTCCTTCTCCTTCCTTCCTCCCTTCTTCCTTCCCTTCCTTCCTTCCCTCCTTCCTCCTTCCTCTCCTCCCTTCCCTTCCTATCCCTTCCATTCCTTCCCTTCCCTCTTCCCTCCCTTCTCCCTATCCTTTCCACCTCTCTTCCACTAACCTCCTTCCCAAACCTTCCCAAACCTCCCCTCCCCCCGGGCTCAGGGCTCAGCCCATCCCCCTTCCCAAGGTTGGGACACTCCCTGGAGCCGAGGCCATCAGGGAGCTATTCCAGATATCCCAGAGATCCCAGAGATCCCAGAGATTCCGGGGAGTGAGGGGGAGGGGGTGGCGGCTCCCTGCATCCCAAATCCAAGTGAAAACCGGGAGCCGATCCACGAGAAAGTCGGGAAAACGACACACCCCCCCCAAATAACAAAATCCAAGGAATTTTAAAGCCACGGGTCAGGGAAAAAAAATTCCTGCGGCCACTGAATTATCCCGGGAATCCCCCGGCTTTCCTTCCCTGCGGGTCTGCGTGGATTTGGGTCGATTAAATCCATAAGAAAAACCGAGGAATAAAAATCCAAACCTTGGGGCCGCCGAAATCCACCTTTCTCACCCCCTCCCCCCCCAAAAAAAAAACTTGGGAAAATCCCCTTGGCGGCTTTTCCTTTACCATCCCGGCCGCCGCTTGGAATTCCGGTTCGCAGGGGAATTCCGATCAAGGCTGATCCCGACGATTCCATAGGGCTTGGAAAGTCGCTACCGACCTGGCATTCCACGAGGAGCTGTTTCCCGGCGGGGCGGGCGAGGGGGGATGCGATACCAGCCTTCCCAAGGATTTCTGGCGATATCCTTGGGGGGGTGGGAGGGAGAGGGGCCGGACCCTTCCCCTACGCTCCCGCCTGGAAAAATTGCGGGATCCAGGGCATGGATCGGGGAGTCGGGGGGGCCCGCAGACCCGCGGAGGCTGCGAAATTCAATAAGGGTTTTGGGGGGAAAAAAACCGGTTCCCTTTTGGGATTCCTGGAGTGGGAAAAGTGGGAGAAGGTGGGAATAGGGAAAAGAGCCTTCCAGGTTTGGGGGGATAAGGAATAACAGCCCTTCCCTTGGGATTTGGGGCGGGATCTGGGCATGGATTTGGAGCTGGGATCCCACAGGGAGGCTGCGAATTCCAAGGATTCTGGGGAGAAGCTGCGAATTCCAAGGATTTTGGGGAGAAGCTGCGAATTCCAAGGATTCTGGGGAGAAGCTGCTCCTCTTTTGGGATTCCTCAGCCTGGAGTGGATTCCCTTTGGACTGGGAAAAGTGGGAGAAGGTGGGAACAGGGAAAAGCCCAGGCATGGATTTGGAGCTGGGATCCCACAGGGATGCTGAGAATTCCAAGGATTTTGGGGAAAATCCCTTTTGGGATTCCTCATCCCTGGAGTGGGAAAACTGGGAGAAGGTGGGAATAGGGAAAAGAACCTCCCAGGTTTGGAGGATAAGGAATAACAGCCCTTCCCTTGGGATTTGGGGCGGGATCCGGGCGTGGATTTGGAGCTGGGATCCCACAGGGATGCTGAGAATTCCAAGGATTTTGGGGAGAAGCTGCGAATTCCAAGGATTTTGGGGAGAAGCTGCGAATTCCAAGGGTTTTGGGGAGAAGCTGCGAATTCCAAGGATTTTGGGGAGAAGCTGCGAATTCCAAGGGTTTTGGGGAGAAGCTGCTTCCCCTCTGGAATTCCTCAGCCTGGAGTGGGTTCCCTTTGCACCGGGAAAACTGGGAGAAGGTGGGAACAGGGAAAAGCCCCTCCCAAATTCCCAAATGCACATTCCCAAATTTCAGCTCACCCCCAAACTGCGGCATATTCCCAAATCCCAGTGAGTTCCCAAATCCCGGTGAGTTCCCAAACCCCAGTGTTCCCAAATCCCGGTGAGTTCCCAAATCCCGTTGAGTTCCCAAATCCCAACGTGTTCCCAACTCCCATTCCCGAATATCGGGACCACAGAATTCCCGAATTCCGGGTTTTTTGGGGGGCTCCAGGCCGTGAGATCACCCAGATCCATCCCAAGCCTTTTGGGAAGGAAGGAATTTCCCCCCCCCTCATTCCCATTCCCTCTGCCTTCCCGGGTGGGAAAAGCGGGATCATGTGAAGGACGAGGAGGAGGCTCCGATGATCCCGATGATCCTGATGATCCCGATGATCCTGATGATCCCGGAGCTCCGGCTGCGCTCCGGAGATAAGGAATTCCTCGTTCCCTCATCAAAGAGGGAGCGCTAACGAGGCTCTGAGCCGGATCATTCCGGATAATTCCCGATAAAACTCCGGCAAGGTGACCCCCGGGACGGCGGAGCCGGGCTGGGAATCAACGCCAGGAGCTGCTGCTCCCGTGGGATGATCCCGAAAATCCAACTTTTCCAGCACCGGGGGGGAAAATTCCCATTAAATTCCAGAGCAGCCTGAAAAACATGGAATTATTTTCCCATTTTATTGGATCCTGGAGGAGAAAATTCCCGATAAATTCCAGAGCAGCCTGGAAAACATGGAATTATTTCCCAATTTATTGGATCCTGGAGGGGGGAAATTCCCGTTAAATTCCAGAGCAGCCTGAAAAATATGGAATTGTTTCCCAATTTATTGGATCCTGGAGGGGGAAAATTCCTGTTAAATTCCAGAGTAGCCTGAAAAACATGGAATTGTTTCCTAATTTATTGGATCCTGGAGGAGGAAAATTCCCAAGAAATTCCAGAGCAGCCTGAAAAATATGGAATTGTTTCCCAATTTATTGGATCCTGGAGGGGGAAAATTCCCGTTAAATTCCAGAGCAGCCTGGAAAACATGGAATTATTTCCCAATTTATTGGATCCTGGAGATCCAACTTTGGCAGCTCCAGGGTGGGAAAATTCCCGTTAAATTCCAGAGTAGCCTGAAAAACATGGAATTGTTTCCTAATTTATTGGATCCTGGAGGAGGAAAATTCCCAAGAAATTCCAGAGCAGCCTGAAAAATATGGAATTGTTTCCCAATTTATTGGATCCTGGAGGGGGAAAATTCCCGTTAAATTCCAGAGCAGCCTGGAAAACATGGAATTATTTCCCAATTTATTGGATCCTGGAGGGGGAAAATTCCCGTTAAATTCCACAGCAGCTGGAAAACATGGAATTGTTTCCCAATTTATTGGATCCTGGAGGGGGAAAATTCCCGTTAAATTCCAGAGTAGCCTGAAAAACATGGAATTATTTCCCAATTTATTGGATCCTGGAGATCCAACTTTGGCAGCTCCAGGGGGGAAAATTCCTGTTAAATTCCCATTAAATTCCGGAGCAGGAGCTGCTCAGCCTGGAAAACATGGAATTGTTTCCCAATTTATTGGATCCTGGAGGGGGAAAATTCCCATTAAATTCCAGAGCAGTCTGAAAACATGGAATTGTTTCCCAATTTATTGGATCCTGGAGGGGGAAAATTCCTGTTAAATTCCAGAGCAGCCTGAAAACATGGAATTGTTTCCCGATTTATTGGATCCTGGAGGGGAAAATTCCCGTTAAATTCCGGAGCAGCCTGAAAACATGGAATTGTTTAGGCTGGAAAAGCCCCTGGAGGTCGTGGATTCCAAGCAGGATCCCGGAATCCGGAGCTCCCGGCGCTTCCAGAGGCTTTTCCATGGGATTCCAAACCCTACCGGGTGTTTTCCCGGGCAGATTAATGGATAATCTTCCCGCATTCCTTGGAGTCCCGGGATGGGATGGGATGGGATCCTTCCAAAGGATTCCCAGAAAACAGCTCCGAAGGTCCGAAGGTCGCCGAGCGCTTCCCGAAAAAAATTCCTGGGCGGGATTATCCAGAACAGAGGGGGGAGCAAGGGAATAGGGGGGGGGGGGAAATATCGAAATTCCAGGGATTTGCTCAACTGTAGATGGAAGGATGAGCAGGGGAAAACAGGGAAAAGGGGGGGGGGATATTCGGGAATGGGTTTGGGAACTGATGGAAGTTTTGGTGGAAATTCCAGTCCCAAATTCCAGGCCATTCCCAAGTTTCAGTTCACCCCCAAATTCCAGGGTGTTCTCAAATTCCAGCATGTCCCCAAATTCCAGGAATTGCGTTCCCAAATTCCTGTGTGTTCCCAAGTTGCAGAGCATTCCCAAATTCCAGGGCATTCCCAATTTCCAACGTGTTCCCAAACTGCAGAGTTCCCGAATTCCAAGTCATTCCCGATCCCCGCGCATTCTCAAGTTTCAGTGCACCCCCAAATTCCAGCGTGTTCCCAAATTCCAAGAATTGTGTTCCCAAATTCCAGTGAGTTCCCAAGTTTCAGGCCATTCCCAAATTCCATGTATTCCCAGTTCCAGTGTGTTCCCAAATTCCAGTGCATTCCCAAATTTCAGAGCTCTCCCAAACTGCAACACCTTCCCGGCTGCAGAATTCCCAAATTCCCGGGGCATTCCCAAGTTTCAGTTCACCCCCAAATTCCAGGGTGTTCCCAAATTCCAGGAATTGTGTTCCCAAATTCCCGTGAGTTCCCAAGGGGCAGGCCACTCCCAAATTCCAGTGCATTCCCAAATTCCTGTGTTTCCAAATTCCAGTGAGTTCCCAAATTCCAATGCCTTCCCAAATTCCAGGGTATTCCCAATTTCCAACGTGTTCCCAAACTGCAGAGTTCCCAAATTCCAAGTCATTCCCGATCCCAGGGCATTCCCAAGTTTCAGTGCACCCCCAAATTCCAGGGTGTTCCCAATTCCAGGAATTGTGTTCCCAAATTCCAGGGAGTTCCCAAATCCCAGTGTATTCCCAAATTCCTGTGAGTTCCCAAGTTTCAGGCCATTCCCAAATTCCATGTATTCCCAGTTCCAGTGTGTTCCCAAATTCCAGTGCATTCCCAAATTTCAGAGCTCTCCCAAACTGCAACACCTTCCCGGCTGCAGAATTCCCAAATTCCCGGGGCATTCCCAAGTTTCAGTGCACCCCCAAATTCCAGGGTGTTCCCAAATCCCAGGGAGTTCCCAAATGTGCCCCCCGACTCCAAATGGGAGCTGCTGCATCCCAAGGAATGTGGGAAGTTGGGAAAAGGTGTCTCCAGGCAGGGAATGAGCCCCGGAATTCCGGGGAAAATGGAGGGAGAAGCTGCATCCCAAGGAATCCCAGGAAGACCGGAAGCTCTGGAATACTTCTGGGTTTATTTAAGGCAGCGTTAATTATCGATTATTAATTACCAATTATTAATTATCAATTATTAATCATTAATTATCAATCACTAATTAATTATCAGCTCATTAAAACCCCACGGAAAAGCCCCGGGATGGGAGATCAGGGATATGGGGAAGCTCCAAGGGATGGATCCATCCCAAAATTCCCACGAAACCCCCCCCTCCCCCTTTTCCAGGGAGGTGCTTGGAGCTCTTCCCAGCTCATCCAATCAACTCATATTCATTCCCACCCTAAAAATTCCCAAAAATTTTGGCTCCAAGGTGGGAAAATCAAAACCCGGAGGTGAAAAATTCCGCCCCCGAAAGGAAAAAATTCCAGCGGCAAAGGCACAATTCCAAGGGCAAAGGCACAATTCCAAGGGCAAAGGCACAATTCCAAGGGCAAAGGCACAATTCCAAGGGCAAAGGCACAATTCCAAGGGCAAAGGGACAATTCCAAGGGCAAAGGGACAATTCCAAGGGCAAAGGCACAATTCCAAGGGCAAAGGCACAATTCCAAGGGCAAAGGGACAATTCCAAGGGCAAAGGGACAATTCCAAGGGCAAAGGCACAATTCCAAGGGCAAAGGCACAATTCCAAGGGCAAAGGGACAATTCCAAGGGCAAAGGCACAATTCCAAGGGCAAAGGCACAATTCCAGTGGCAAAGGCACAATTCCAAGGGCAAAGGCACAATTCCAACGGGAATTCCAAGCCCTGGGTCCCGGGAGAAGGGGATGGAGGGAAAGGGAAAGCCGGGAAAGGCTGTGGGTAACAACTGGGAATTCCAGGGAAAAGGGACGGAGGGAAGGGAAGGGAAAGCTGGGAAAGATTCACGTTCACAGCTGGGAATTCCCAGGAGAAGGGGATGGAAGGAAGGGAAAGCTGGGAAAGGCTCCCGTTCACAGCCGGGAATTCCCAGGAAAAGGGAAGGGAAGGGAAAGGCGGGAAAGGCTCCTGTTCACAGTCGGGAATTCCCGGGAAAAGGGGATGGAGGGAAGGGAAAGGCGGGAAAGGCTCCTGTTCACAGCTGGGAATTCCCGGGAAAAGGGAAGGGAAAGGTGGGAAAGGCTCCTGTTCACAGCCAAGAATTCCCGGGAAAAGGGGATGGAGGGAAGGGAAATCCGGGAAAGGCTCCTGTTCACAGCCGGGAATTCCCGGGAAAAGGGAAGGGAAGGGAAAGGTGGGAAAGGCTCCTGTTCACAGCCGGGAATTCCCGGGAAAAGGGAAGGGAAATCCAGGAAAGGCTCCTGTTCACAGCCGGGAATTCCCGGGAAAAGGGACGTCCGGCGGGAGCCCTTCCAGCCACTCCAGCAGGATCCTGTTCACCTCGGCCGGCCTGCAGGGAAAGCCGGGAATGGGCCGGGAGCCGGAATTCCCGGGAATCTTGGGAAGGGGGGGGGTTATCCCGGCTCCCACCTTTCCATCTGCGTCCAGTGCCCGCATTCCTCCAGGTGCTCCCGGCGCAGCCGCGGGATCTTGGGAAGAGGGAGGGTGGGAAAGAGGGAAGGGGGAGGGTCGGATCCCGGCATTCCCGGCATTCCCTGGTGGGATGGGGGCCGGGAATTCCCGGGCTTACCCAGTTTTCCATGCCCTTGCTGAGGCTGGGAAGCAGCACCGGGTCCTTCCCGGCCGTCACCATCAGAGCCGGCAGCGGGATCTGCGAGGGGAGCCACAGGGGGATCCAGGGATCCACAGGGATCCACTGGGACTGGGGGGGCATGGAGGGGACTGGGGGGATCCAGGGATCCACAGGGATCCACAGGGATCCAGAGGGACGTGGAGGGGGCAGGAGGGATCCAGGGATCCAGAGAGACAGGGGGGATCCAGAGGGAATCCAGAGGAATCCAGAGGGGACATGGAGGGGATAGGGGGGATCCAGGGATCCAGAGGGACATGGCAGGGACGGGGGATCCAAGGATCCAGAGGGATCCAGAGGGACATGGAAGGGATGGGGGGGATCCTGGGATCCAGAGGGATCCAGGGGACATGTAGGGGACAGAAGGGATTCAGGGATCCAGATCCAGAGGGATTTGGGCGGCATGGAGGGGATCCACAGGGATCCAGGGGGCATGGAAGGGATGGGGGAGATCCAGAGATCCAGAGGGATCCAGAGGGGACATGGAGGGGTCAGGGGGGATCCAGGGATCCAGAGGGGACATGGAGGATCCAGAGGGGACAAGGGGGGGTTCAGGGATCCAGAGGGATCTGGAGGGGACATGGAAGGGACAGGGGGGATCCAGGGATCCAGAGGGACACAGGGGGGATCCAGAGGGGACATGGAGGGGACAAGAGGGATCCAGGGGGATCCAGAGGGAACA